TGAAATTTTTACTCATCATTAGCACTGATATTGGTATTTCTGAAGGACCAGAAGACTTTTGAGTTCATTTGTTGTAAAATGTTCAATATTGTCACTTCACTAACAGCTTGGAAAAAGAATGATGTGTTGGTATTAAATTTTCTTGACATGAGCCACTTAGTAGTCAGTATGTTCTGCAGATAGTGAAGATATGGGATAAATATTATTTCAAGGAATTTTAGTCAAACAGTTTAGGAATTTTATATAGGCTCAAGTGATGACACTGAGTGCTGTCCCATATGTATGAGTAAAAGTAAACTAGAAGCTCATTACATTGTCAAGTCGCTATAGGCAGATCTCATTGGTCAACAATTTAGTTTTCCTGCTTAAGAATTTGACTTTTTGAATTTTGAATTTTTTTGGCCCTTGTAACAATATGCATGTGATTCAGTATTGTGCTGCCACCTACTTTGTTGTATAGTTGAGCTCAAACACAAGCTCGCTCTCTGTAACCGTGTGGTGTTGGGATGTATATCATCTCTCTCGAGTGGAAAGCAGAATAAACTTAAGTTGTGTTGCAGTGTAATACAAGCCGTTCGTATGTAATACTTGTCTGAGCGACACAGAAGTGATACAGACCAAAATCTGTTTGTGGTGGCTACGAATTGTTGGCCCCACAATCTGTGCTGTTGAAAACATTTGCCCAACGGTCTGTTTGCGGTGGGTAAGAAATTTTTGTGCCTACAATATATGGTTGTGGTGGCTAAAAAGTTTATGAGCGCGTAATCTGTTTGTGGTGGCTAAGAATTTTTTGCCCCACAATCTGTGATGACTGAGAAAATTTGGGCCCACAATCTGTTTGTGATGGCTAACTAAAATACTTTGTGCCGACAAACTGTTTGTGGTGGCTAATAGGTTTTTGGGCCTACAAGCTCTTTATAGTGGTTAAAAAGGATTGGCCCGCGGTCTATTTGTTGTTGCTAAGAAATTCTTTTTCTGGCACATAATCTTTTGTGCTTCCCCACACGCTCCCCATCTGCCAATGAATGGCATGCCTTCTGATATTACTGTATTGATATACAACATTTAGAGTGACTTAGCCTGTACCAGTAATAAGTTGGGGTCACCTTTTATACATTGAGTTAAAAATAAAAGAGCATGGAGAATGTGTTTTATGAAAGTGGGGTACCCAACTTTAACAGTTCATTGGTATATCATTGTTTCATAGTATTTGTGTAAAAACTAGAAGTAGAACTAAAAAGATCAGAGGTAGAACAGAACTAGAAAATCTAAATATTTGTTTACAATTTATATTGCAGAATTCAGATTTCAAAGTTTCAAGGATGGCCAAAAATAAAAAAGCAAAAAAGAAATTCGGGCTCTCTGACAAGGTTAACAGCTCGAAAAGTGCACGCAAAGGCAAAGTAAATCCATTTGAAGTTCATTTTAATAGGCAGAAGCATAATGTTCTTGGAAAAATAAGCAAAAGTGATACTGGACTTCCAGGTATATCGAGACAAAAGGCGCTTAAGAAGGTATGTGTATTTCATTGCCTAATGTGTGCTTGCCAGATATATAATGAGCACAAGTTTGTAAATTGTGAAGCAAACTTGTAATAAAAACCCAGAATTATTATCGTTCAAATAATCCTCTTGACATTCCTCACCTTTAAAAAAAGAAATTCTGGCAGAGTTTCTAGTGTATTTGTTTTTTTACCATCAGAGGAAGGAAACTTTGCTGCAAGAATATAAAAAATTTGGAAAGTCAAACACAATTATTGATAAGCGAATCGGCGAATATGATTCAACTATGACAGAAGAGGAGAAAATGGTGCAGAGGTTTGCATTGGAAAGAAAGGTGATCTATATCAATTTCTATTTTAACTTATGGTAATTGCATGGATAGTATTTTTCTAAGAATAGGAACACCTGTATATATTTTGATGAAATCTGAAAAATTGTAGTCATGGGTTCTGAGTGCCAGGTTGTGGCACTGGATGTTGATATATTTGAGTACAGACGCATGTGATATCCTGTACAAAGTAACGGTGTACCGGCATGAAAAAAAAACAATTGTTTGATACAATAGTTTTTTGTTTAGTATTATCAGACATTTATAGGTATATACTCCTGTATATATACTGATAGTTAACATGTAATTTTTAACAGAGAACACATGAGAAATCTGCTATTTTTAACTTGAATGAAGAAGAAGAGTTGACTCACTATGGACAATCACTAGCCGGAATAGAGAAATTTGAGGAGCAGAACAACAGTGATGATGGAAGTGAAGATGGTTGGCTAGCAGGTTTGTAGAAACTAACTTTATACAAAACCATTGTATTTCAAGACCAGTTTAACCTTTAAGACCAGTCATAACAAGTCTAGTTTCAGACAGATGGTAAAAATTGGTAACAATGTCTCTAACTTGATTTCTATTTATTGTCCACATTTACAGTTAAAGTGGGTAATAATGAGCTCACATGACACCGTTATTCAATTAAAATGGTAAGGATAATGCATAATATAAATTATCTATATGTACAGTTATCTGAATAATATATATACATCTAGGTAAGCACAATATAGTGTAGGGGATATGTTATGTGCCTATCATAGGAAAGTTCACCGCTGAGGCACATTTTGGTGGTGGAGACCTTGACAAAAATGAAGAGAACAATGAACAAAAATGTCGCCTTTTCGCATGGATTGCAGAGCTGAGAGGTAGAGGAGCCGAGCCGTAGGGTGTGGAGAAGGAGGCGGAGGAGCCAGAAAAATATTAAGTCATCCACTATTTTGCGCAGTTCGCTGTTTTTGGTTCCCCTTGTTTAAAAAATCCTGGCTACGCCACTGTTTTTGGGTGTTTTCTGATCATATTATTATGTGATTGAAAATAGGAGATTTTGGGATATTTTTTGGGACAACCAGAAATTGTTGCGGACAACCCGATTTGATGCCGGGGTTGTCCGCAGGACAACCACATTTTTTTTCTTATTTCGAGCACTGATATCGTATTCCATTTATTATTAAGAATACCTTAGAATGCACATCCCCAAATTGCAGCCCCCCCCCCCTATAAAAACGTCCCCACATCTGAGTCATTCACTTTGCTACGACAGAAATCCTGGACCAGTGCTTCCTCAGAGGCACTGGCCCTACTGGACCAGTGCCTCCAATTATCAGTTTTTCACCCTGTTATCTATATTACTCATGCAACCAGGAAATAAATATAGTGTTTTCAGTCCAGGAACTATTTGCGCTATTTTGGATACTATTTTGCATTATCTGGCACTTCGTACAAATAACTTGTGTCTGACCTAAGTTTTCAAAATAGTCAACTTCGGAGCACATTTCTGGCTCAATGAGAACATTTCGTGATGTTTGCACACTGCAAGTATGCTCACAGTAGGTCTATATACTAGGCCTTTTGTTGCGAGGTCTATCCATTTTAATGCCTCATAGATTGCAAGTATATTTTGGACAAGTAAAAATTGCTTCTTGTTGCCCGACAGGACAACTAGATCTGAAAATAAGTATCCAGAGAGACCGGGTACAAGATGGCGTTGCGCAAAAGATGCGTTGTTCCCCGACCGCCGAGAGCGGTTAAGCCGCGCACTTCCGTGTACGTACGATTAGCTACGTGTAAAAACTGGCACCGCCACGCCACCACGTGTTCGCACGACGTGCCGTCGCCACGGGCAGCGCGGGGTCAGGAGGTTGGTAAAAACTTGCCACGTACGCAGCCAGACGCCACGTACGCAGCCAGATGCCACGGCGGCGGCGGTTTTGGAGATAGCATCTAA